AGACATAATTATCTGTTCGCCAACTGAGGCGAGCTGTGTGATCCATTAGTTCCCAGAAGTGATTCACAAGTAATTCTCGGCCCCATGATATCCATAATTTATCCAATCAATCAATCAAGGTATTGTCTTTACGTGAGGCATGGTTACCCAGTTGCCCGAGCCAGAGGCTCATGTATGAAACGTAAGATAACCTACCCATGGGAGGACATCCACCACACAGCTGTAATCTCGTGCGTGGGAAATTAACGTCTCCTACCCCTAACCCTGCAGGAGACGGGGCCTACGGTTTATTCGTCCTTATCGGAGAAGACTAGAATATCAATCCATTTCTTGATATTATAGAAAGGTAGCAAATTCTCCTCAGTTATTTTGTCCATTTATTGGTTATTGGTTATTATCAGTTATTGGTCCAGCAAACAGGTAAACGAGAATCCGGCAAACAGGTAACGAGATTACTCAAACTTATCAGATAGAAGTTTTTATACTGATCCAACACCAAATTCTCGTGATTCGTAATTAACAAGGGAATGTGTAGCAGCCACAACGGAGAGTTTACAATAAGATCTTGGAAGTTAAAGGGTTTTAGCCCTTTAAAAGTACAGAACGAAACATCGGTTATTTGAATGTTTTATAGAGTGGGTACAGGAAAGGACGGTAACCCATTTGGTAAAATGTCATAGCTGTATTTTTCTGCCGACGGCTCTAAATATACTTCAAAAAAGTCAAACACTTTTTTTCGCCGCAATAAGCAGTTATGTCGCCACCTGATTGGATGTCGATAAGAGTAGAGACAGCGTTGCTGGCACCACTGTGTTGACGAATACCGTTTTCGATAATAGTACAAACCACGCTACATTGCTCGAAGAATTGTGAATATGAACTGAAGTCTACAAATACATCTACTAACAGCCCGTCACTTACTATTTGTAACTCCTTTTTCAGCCGCTGTTGTAATACAAAGATGTTATCGCGCCTATCGACACAGAGTTGGTAGGTTGTTTGCAGCTGAGCTAACAGAACTCTTCCCTTTTCGATTTCACATCTTGTTGAGACACCTCATTGCTAAAAAACCTGTCACCGAACTACCCATAACGAGCCGATTCTTGGCTCAATGGAGTTCCGACGTTTTATGATTGTAAAATTTATTCTAGCCTAATTGTTTAGCGTCTGCATCCCAAGTAAACAAAAGAGAGGTCCCCCCCCCCAATAATGAACAAATAATTAAAAAAAAAACATACTTCATATATTTTTCCATGATATGGTCATTCGAAGTTACTGGCACAAGCTAAGCGATACAAAAACACCGTTGATACTTTAATTCGTCTTTTCCATTTTCAATTCCAGCCTCAAAATTCCGAAGAAATTCCTTTACCCCAAGGATAGATTGGAAACCTCAGAACCGGGATCTACTTGCAGAGATGTTTCAATCCACAAGTGAATTCAAGATCGAAAGAAAATCACAACCTGGATCTTTCACAATGTTAATGAAAACCATATTTGGGCCATTAGGTGGCGGAGTACATTGCAAAGGAATTTGGCTTGAAATATTAGAGCAATCACTGACGACAGCTACAAAAGAAGTGTGCCTCCATATCTGCAATTACAAAGAAGAATTTGCACCACTTAAAACTGGGGAACACCTCATAAGTGAGGTTGTGGCCCTAGGACCAAACAAAGATCCATTGAGAGCTCCCGCAAAATTATGCCTTCCTCTTTATGACATGTGTGCAGATCACGAATTGTTTCTACGATGGTCACCAACTCAAGTCGGTGAAGAAGCGCAATGGAAGGACGTGTTTCCAGGGACGTTCAAGGGAAAATTTGCCGGACCCACCGTTATACTACAGATTGTTAATACTAAACAAGTCAAAGTAACTACTAATACGTTTGGTCTATTTTGCATTATTTCTCGAGAACCGTCGAAAATAGACAGTCACCAAAATGATGAACGTGAAGTAAAGAGCGGAAGTCTTCTTTCTCAAGGAATATCTGGTATTATCAAATTACTGGGTCAAAAGTTTAGGAGCGAAAAGGAAGAATGCTTTGGACAAGATCAGGAAATATCTGAACGAATTGCTTTGATAAGGTAACTTAAGCAAAACAAAATGCATTGTTGTTCCTCATTATGCGAAAACCTGTCATTTGAATTCAAGTTATTTGAGAATAAATTACTCTAACCCAGTGCCCAGATGGAGTAGGGGGTAATAAATCAGAGGTCTGGGACGGCACCGCGCCAGAGAACGGAGGAGACAGAGGGGATGGAGGGTGTGGTAACGAAACAGCTGAAGGAGACGAGGTGGAGACGGATGGAGGGGGAGGTGGAGGGTAAGATGAAGCAGTGGAGGGAGAGGGCGGAGCTAGGGTGGAGGGGAGAGGGACTGGCGCTGTGGTAGAAGGGACAGGGGGTGGAGCTGATGCGGAAGGGGCTGGGGCTAGAGCTGGGGTGGAGGACACAGGGGGCGGGATCATAGTTGGATCAGTTGATGGGGATGTTGCATGGCTATTCTCACAGTCGGAAGTTTGTTTTTGTGTATCGCCTCTCTTAAACATGTTTCCTATTCGTTGAAATAAGGTAGGTCTATCATCCTGTGTTTGATTATTAGCGCTCTCGAAAGATACATTATTGTTAATGCTTTTTTGGTGTGCTTTGGGTTCTGAGGTATCAATTATGCCAAATATTCCGAAATGTTTGGTGAAAACCTTTGCCTCGCTCTCTTTGAATTTAAGAGTGATCTGACTTTCATCAGAGCGGTGTTTCTTGTCACAAACAAGGACATCACTCCAGTTAGCCCTCTCTCCTGATTGTGTTGGAGTCCAACGAAGAAACTGCGCATGCCCTGCCTTAACGTTCCCTTCAATTGGCAAACAAAGCTCAGCAAACGCACACAATGGCTTTCCAAGGGGGCTGATTTCCACCAAATGGCTGACAATCTCTTCCGTGTCACTAAGTGGGACAACTTCCTTTCTAGCTTTGCACAGCTGAATACAAACTTCTTTAGTATCTGATGTCAAGGAGCCTTCTGGAAGATCCACAAGCACCTTTTTGCATTGCACGCTTCCCCCTGACTGGCCGAATATTGCTTTAGCCACAGCTGAGAAAGTGCTGGGATCCGGAACACTGACGCCGTATGTAGTACTCAGTCTTCGCGCGACTTTGTCAACGAACATACTAATGCTTGCACGTTTCTCACTTTGCAATTCAGGAACTTTGACATCTTCACATGAATAATCTGTTGAATTTAATGAAAATTAAATTAACAATATATAGATGATATGATTGAAATTAATTATAATAAACGTTCCTGCGTTCACACGAAATGTTTGAATCGTTGAGCGCATGGAATGTACTGTGCCAAGGTAAAAAAATATCTTAATTTGAAAGGCGGATTTGTTTCCCCTGTGAGCACTGCGTCAGTCGGAAAATTCTGCCCCCGAAATTTAGTTTGTCTGTATTGAGATAGATAGATAAATAGATCGATAGACAGACAGACAGACAGATAGAGAGATAGATAGATAGATAGATAGATAGATAGATAGGTAGGTAGGTAGGTAGATAGATAGATAGATATATAGATATATAGATACATAGATAGATATATAGATACATAGATAAATAGATCGATAGACAGACAGACAGACAGATAGATAGGTAGGTAAGTAGGTAGATAGGTAGATAGATAGATAATATGTGTCTCAGAGGGGCAAAAACGACAACTTGGAGAATCAACTTTCTTCCTCTTATATGATAAACTATTCTTAAGTAGAATGCAATGAATGTTCTCATACTGGAACGTTGATGATTTAGTTTCTTTTAAACCGTGACTGGATCACTTGTTTGAATACTATATAGTAAATAGTATAAAAAGAAACAGCTCTTGCCGCATACTTACCTACATCAGCAGCAATAGTAAACGTCTTTTTCGACGGCGATGTTTGTAATTTCGATCCGCCTTTTTCTAAGAAAAATATATGGCGAACATCTCCTCCTTTTATGCAAAAATCAACCCTGCAAAACAAGTAGTGCTGCTTCGTTGATGCAATGAACTATCAATTAACTTGATTTTATTTGATTATTAAATGTTTTAGTTGACACTTAGTAATACGTTCAGTCACGTGAAAAAGGCTGATTTTGAGCTTGGATAACGCGTATTCATGGATATTCTCAAGGAGAACACACATATCTTTGTCGACCTGACTCGTTGACCCTGTTTTTGCTCCTCTGTGACTTATTTGTTCTGTGTTGCTGACCTTTGAAAGTTAAAGAAGTTGATTGTTATCATGTGTCCAGATCATCTGAGTGAGAATAATTTACATAATCTCTGATCATCACTGCGAAGATCGCTTTCACATTCACAATCCATGGTATGGAGCAGAATGCTGCGTCATTCCCACAGATAAAGATATGTTCCGTAGACTTGTAATAAACGATAGGAGCATTCAGCAGTCAGGACGAAAACTTTGAGGAAGACGTTGATTAAGAAATTAATTTGTATTTTTAATTAGAGTGTCGCGAATGGCTGGATCTTACAGCGCCACATCTCAACTTCAACATAACGTATGTGAGCAGCGTTGAGTTTCAAATGGAACCTTGTATATAATTTGCCGTCGAGGTTTCCGTTCTTAGACCACTCAAAGTTTTGTGATTTAATCTTGTTGTTTTGCAGAGGACGGCTAAGAAATTTACAAGGTTTTAAAATGCACGGGCTGAGCAATAGTCCATTTTACAGTTGTGTGCTTGGTTGCCAAGCCTTTGGATGGGAGTGAGGCTAGAGATGACCTTGTTATGATACAAACCTTGCTACCTTTCAAATGTAAATCATTTTGTTATCATGCTAACTAGATACAGGTCTCTATCACAACAAGGTCATCTTTAGCCTCACTCTGAATCAAAGGCTTGGCAACTAAGTACACAACTGTAAAATAGCCTATTGTCCTGCCCATTATATCTTCTGGTTTGCCGCGTCCTTGTTGCCATCGTCGTCGTGGCTTGCTTAAGGTCTCGTTTAAGGAATATTAAGTAAGCTTAAAACTGGTCTTACTTGTCAGACACATTTAGCTGCAGCTCAGAGTTTCTCTCCAGTTGATACACAACAGCTATTCTGTTAAGAACTTCAGGAAGCATTCGACATTCAAATATGTTATCATATTCCTTGGCATGAAGTACAAAGAAAGAGTCGTCATTGCGGCTGAAACAACAACAAAAGAACGAAATGATTCATTTTGCGTGCGAAGTAGGCGAGTGCATACCTTTCATATCTTTGTTTATTTTCTTAATTTTTTTTCAGTACCGCGCATTTTTTCTGATATTCCGCCGGTATCGATCTGAAGCCAGACTGTTTAGGCTTTCCGACGCCATTTCGGACTTACAAAAACACATGGTCTCAATTTCATGTGGATGTCTAGACTTGCATCAGTCTGGATGCCATGGTTAGATATGCATATAAATAGCATGGTTAGATATGCATATAAATAGCAAACATTTGATCGAGCCAAATGAGTTACTGCAAATCGGAACAGTGAGCCAAGCCACCATATGATGTTCGTAGGTTTAGTAATACAGTGAATTTTATTACAAAAATATAAATCCCTAAGCTCTATCGAGCGCACTTTTATAATCCATAATTAGTAACAATCCCTAGTAATAGCTTTTAATTTCACAGCCATGATGGTTCAGTTAATTAATTAACAAGATTGTGCGAAATTTGTTCAGGTTGGTCGCAATGACAGCTTCTTGATTGCAGAGTGTTCATTCAGTAAAGCAACATACCTAACTGTTACACGATTTATGTCAGTCATGTGTAGTTTGCGTTTAACTGTAAACGTGGAATCCGTCTGTGAAGGAAAATGTAAACTCAAATTAGTACAGTGCTCAAAGGTATAGGAATAGCCTACGGTTGGTATAGGTAATGACATGACTTTCGAGCGCAATTTGGTTTTAATAAGCACGAGTAAATTTTCAAAGACAACAAGCCACAAGCCCGTGGTGCGAATACAATTTGTAGCCTTTGAAAAATTTAAAAGTGCTTATTTACATCAAATTGCACGAGAAATAGTGTTGTTACTTGTTAATAGTCTACACGAGAAATGCATCACAAAAAGTCAAGACAGACGAAATTTTGGCAGCGCGCGCTATTTCCAATTTGCACTCGTGTTACAACTTTGCGTGCTGGAGGCAAGAGTTCAAGCTCCAGACTGGACCAACATTCAGAGTCTTAAAATAACTGAGGAGAATCAAGATCGCCTCAATCAACCGCCTCCCGGTCAGCTCAATGGATAGAGCGCTGGACTGTTGTGCGGGAGGTCGAGGGTTCGAGCCCCGGCCGGACCAACACTCAAGGTCTTAAAATAATTGGGAAGAATATGCTACCTTTCTATAACATCATCT